CCTGATACACATTGGAGAAGGACACTCAGTCACCTACTGAGACGGTTTTTCTTTCCACACCGGAAAAAAGGAGCCATCACAGAAAAGAAGGAGCAAGGATGAATCAGAGCAGAGAGTGGATAAGAGGGACTTAACAGAGTACACCACTGTGTCCTTGTCCATGCCCTTGTTCAGGTATTTGAACCTCTCCAAGAGTTCAACCCTTGGCGGCACCAAAATCATCTCCAGGTTAAAGGCTAGGGCCTTCTCCACCATGTCCCTGGCCAGGCTAGCGCCCGCAGCATCCATGTAAAGTTTGTCCAAATTGGCCCTGCTATGCAAAATCATTCTCCGTACAGTATCATTTGGGCACCGTTTAAAGATCTTCCTGTAGAAAAATGAGAGCCCAGACGTAACAATATCATTCAATGCAGGCCAGGCCGGGGAGCTCTTCTCCAGGAAGCTTGCGGCAGTGGTCTTGAAAGTTCCTAAGATGAAGTTGCCTGCCAAACAATTGACCTTGGATGCCAGGGTCTTGACCTTGCCAGAGTTTGCCTTGGTGGCCCATAAGGTGGCCCCATATGTGATCCTAGGAGATAGAACACACTTGACCATTTTCTTTCTGTCAGATTCATTGAAACCAGACTTTGAGTTTCCAAAAATATAAAGTTGAGTTAAGGTTTTGGAGGCCTTCTCCCCCAAAACATGGAAATTTTTATTGAGCAGAAGTTTGGAGTGTAACCAGACACCCAACCACTTGACCTCTGGGACCGTTCAAAGAGAGTGAGAGCCAAATAAAAGCTCACTGCTCCCTGGTTTACCTTTGGTTAGCCAAAGGAACTGTGCTTTGGCTTGGTCAAAAATGGCCCTGTGTGAGGAACCCCATTTCAGAGACCGGATGCCCTCCTGTCTGAGACCCTCCTGTGCCTCCTCAACCGAGTCTACCGCTACAAGGTGGACAACATCATTGACATAGCCAATCAAAAATAAATCCAAGTCAACAGAAAGAGAAGAATTAAGTAGCATTGTGTAAAGAAAAACCGTCTCAGTAGGTAACTGAGTGTCCTCCTCCAATGTGTATCGAGTACTTTTTGGTTTCACTGCGGAAATCTACTAGAATAATTAGTTTCTTTCT